AGTAATTCCTCTATTATAAGCTGGCAACTGTTACTTAGATATAGGGGTTTTCCTAGAAGTCAGGGATCAATGATCTCTGATCTCCATGTGCCTCAACTTTACTTGCATATGTTTCTGTTATGTACAATAAACAAAGTATGCATTATATTACATTTTCATTAATTCCTGATTTTTAGGGCTCCCTGTAGATGTTTTTCCAACCAAATTTTGCATAAGTAATATTGCTAATGTAAAACAGTTCATCAGACTGAAAATTTCTGGTATATCATGCTTGTGTAACCCACTATGTAGCCACAAGGTGCTACTGTATGTAACATGTTCCCCACAGGCCAGAATGCTCTAGATTATTCAGTATTTCATGGGAAATATAGTGGAAAGGGTCACTATTTGCAATTTACCATTCTTCTACTTCGTCATTAAAATGTTTTAAATGCTTGATTTTTCTAATTGCTGCCTGCTCCACATGCTATGCAGTCACAATCTTTTTATTGTGTTTGAGATTTGATTGTATTTGATTACAGTAGGGGCTTCTCATTCCCTCAGCATGGTTTGGGTTTGATCAGGTAGTTGCTAGACTCCTTGAAAATAATCTTCAAATTTAGAGCAGAAATTTACTGTTCATGGTCATATTTCTTGTGGGACTAGCAGGGAAGCCATGAGTTTTCCCACCTTGTATTTTGTTCTCTGAATTCGCAAATTTGCATCCCTTTTTTTTTAGCAAGGCCTTACAGTAATTGAGCGTTAGTAATGTTCATATTTTTGGGTAGGTGGAGAAATAAAATGAGATGGTTGTCTGTTGCAGAGTGCATTGAGAGCCTTAGCCCGGTCTGGAATGAAGATTGGACGCATTGAAGATGTGACTCCAATACCTTCAGATTCCACCAGGAGGAAGGGTGGCCGCAGGGGGCGTCGTCTGTAATGGAATGTTCCATATGTTCCAATAAAGACTCCCCTATCTGTCACCTTTTGTATTTTTCTTTTACTCTTCCCATGCTTGCAAATCTCACTAGTAGACTGGATGAACAAGTTGGATGGCTTTGTTGAGTCAAGTTCTGCATTCTTGCATCTTGGTTATGAATCTCATGTGCAAAATATTCTCTTCCTTTGTCAAGTCAAAAACTCTGGTATGTGGTTATTCTAGGAGCAATAAATTGTAATTGTAGTTTTGAATAAATTCAATGAGTCATTTTCATAGGACCAAGTAACCATAGCTTCCTTGGGGCACATACCTTGAGTAATTTTGGATTTTGAGGTCAACAGGTGCTAGCACTAATGCAGAATTCCTCAAGCTAGAGGAATCTTGAGAACTTTAGGTAATGTCCAGAAAGGACTGCATGCCTTGAGAAGGGAATGACAGGAGGAACAAAACCCATGTAAAGGTCAATGGTGCATACTGTGTTTTGAAACCAGGAAACTGGAATTGCATGTAAAGCCTTAAGTCTTTTTCACCAATACTGTATTATGGTTCTTGTGAGGTTTGATCTTGATGTTGCTGCTGTTGGTAACAACCATGANATTGGTAACCCTAATAAAATCTTTACACAGAGTCTATTGTGAATTTTGATGGTTTTGCCACATTTTTGCCTATGAATGCTTTGACAGTGTTAGTGGTTTTATTTAATATGTAGAATATTCATTAAAGAAGTGAAGAAGTTGGATGTTATCATTTGTAAGGGCTCAGAAAAAACTGAAATGGTATGACTCTAATCTGGTAATTTATTTTTGTTGTAGACACATGGGAGGAGCAAAACAAGGGTAATGCTGTAAAGTTTACTTTATAATTAATAAAAATTCAACTATGCAAATAAATGACTATTACAATTTTTTTTGGGCCACTCTGTATATGGAAGTGTGAAAATTTGTGCTATTGATACAGTTCAAGCTTCTCCAAGATTGGAACTCAATCCTCAACTTGATCTGATATTCTGCAGGGAGACAATTTCTCGAGTGACTGGTGGGATGAAGGTGAAGGCTGATCGAGATGAAGCGTCCCCTTATGCCGCCATGTTGGCAGCTCAGGTCAGAAAGTCAGGGAATTTCTAATTGCTTTTCACCATATTTTCCTCTACAGGTTGGGAAAGGACACCAGTAAATACTTGTAGTACCACCCACTCCAAAAGGGGTTTGGCCTATTTAACTCCTTAGGCAAGGTTCTTTGTGTTCTGTAAATTCAGAGAAGAGAAAAACAGGCTCACTTATTTCCCTAATATACCTTGCACTTCAACATGTGTACTTTTGCAACTACAAGCAGAATGTAGACATTGGATAATCTCCCATGTGTTCCTTTTTTTATGGGGAAGTGAGTATATTTTTATGTTCCCCATGAGTGGCTATGCTACAAAACTTTTTAATGACCTTATTGAGTTCAAGAAATGTCAAAGCAATGAGGAAAAAATGAACAAATGTGCAGAGGATTCTCTGTGATGGTTGTAACATATACGCTATTCTGAGCCCTTGGTTTGAGACAGGACATAAGTGTCAAATCTGTGTGATACTTTTGTGAGTATGTGGTGGTTCCTTGCTGTGTAGGATGTGGCTGAGAAGTGTAAACTGGTGGGGATCACGGCCCTTCACATCAAACTCAGAGCAACCGGAGGAAATCGCACCAAGACCCCTGGACCTGGAGCTCAGGTCAGTTTCTGATGGTTAACTTTCTCCTGTTGCAGCTTTGACATCTTTCAATTTTTCTTGTTGAAGTTTTAAAGTAATTCCTCTATTATAAGCTGGCAACTGTTACTTAGATATAGGGGTTTTCCTAGAAGTCAGGGATCAATGATCTCTGATCTCCATGTGCCTCAACTTTACTTGCATATGTTTCTGTTATGTACAAGAAACAAAAGTATGCATTATATTACATTTTCATTCATTCCTGATTTTTAGGGCTCCCTGTAGATGCTTTTCCAACCAAATTTTGCATAAGTAATATTGCTAATGTAAAACAGTTCATCAGACTGAAAATTTCTGGTATATCATGCTTGTGTAATCCACTATGTAGCCACAAGGTGCTACTGTATGTAACATGTTCCCCACAGGCCAGAATGCTCTAGATTATTCAGTATTTCATGGGAAATAAAGTGGAAAGGGTCACTATTTGCAATTTACCATTCTTCTGCTTCGTCATTAAAATGTTTTAAATACTTGATTTTTCTAATTGCTGCCTGCTCCACATGCTTTGCAGTCACAATCTTTTTATTGTGTTTGAGATTTGATTGTATTTGATTACAGTAGGGGCTTCTCATTCCCTCAGCATGGTTTGGTTTTGATCAGGTAGTTGCTAGACTCCTTGAAAATAATCTTCAAATTTAGAGCAGAAATTTACTGTTCATGGTCATATTTCTTGTGGGAATAGCAGGGAAGCCATGAGTTTTCCCACCTTGTGTTTTGTTCTCTGAATTCGCAAATTTGCATCCCTTTTTTTTAGCAAGGCCTTACAGTAATTGAGCATTAGTAATGTTCATATTTTTGGGTAGGTGGAGAAATAAAATGAGATGGTTGTCTGTTGCAGAGTGCATTGAGAGCCTTAGCCCGGTCTGGAATGAAGATTGGACGCATTGAAGATGTGACTCCAATACCTTCAGATTCCACCAGGAGGAAGGGTGGCCGCAGGGGGCGTCGTCTGTAATGGAATGTTCCATATGTTCCAATAAAGACTCCCCTATCTGTCACCTTTTGTATTTTTCTTTTACTCTTCCCATGCTTGCAAATCTCACTAGTAGACTGGATGAACAAGTTGGATGGCTTTGTTGAGTCAAGTTCTGCATTCTTGCATCTTGGTTATGAATCTCATGTGCAAAATATTCTCTTCCTTTGTCAAGTCAAAAACTCTGGTATGTGGTTATTCTAGGAGCAATAAATTGTAATTGTAGTTTTGAATAAATTCAATGAGTCATTTTCATAGGACCAAGTAACCATAGCTTCCTTGGGGCACATACCTTGAGTAATTTTGGATTTTGAGGTCAACAGGTGCTAGCACTAATGCAGAATTCCTCAAGCTAGAGGAATCTTGAGAACTTTAGGTAATGTCCAGAAAGGACTGCATGCCTTGAGAAGGGAATGACAGGAGGAACAAAACCCATGTAAAGGTCAATGGTGCATACTGTGTTTTGAAACCAGGAAACTGGAATTGCATGTAAAGCCTTAAGTCTTTTTCACCAATACTGTATTATGGTTCTTGTGAGGTTTGATCTTGATGTTGCTGCTGTTGGTAACAACCATGAGGGCCTCCTGTGTCCCCAGATCTATTGGAGATGGGGATGCAAGGCTACTTGTGATGCTACTTATATCAGGCATTAAATGCTTAAACCTAGTGTGTGGGTTTATTTAAAATAGAATTTGAGTCCACAAAAAGTGAGCAGTGTCAAGTACTTCCTTCCTCTCACCATAATTTATGGGAAAGGGACTAATCAGAGTACAAGCAATCCTGAAGTTCAGGTCTTTGGTTCTTACCTGTGGTCAAACGCATGGAGACTTTTTACTTTTAATTACATTCACAGCTGGACCAAGAATGCCACTGGTCCTATAGTGGCCTGATTATATGATAGATCAGAGCAGACCCAGCTGGCTTG